TTTTTTTTTTTTTTTTTTTTTGTCTTTTGTCTTTTTCCTTGTCCGGCAACGGGATCGCAACCCTCGGCGTTGCTCCCGCGCCTCGCTCAGCCAGTGAGCGGGAACCGGTCTGTATGTGGGATCCGAACCCTCGGGCGGGAGCGCCGCCGCGCTTCCCAAGCGGCGCACTATCCAGTGTGCCACCGGGCCGGCCCCCCACATGAAATTTTTTAAGATATCAATATATTAACCTAGGGCCGGCCCGTGGCTCACTCGGTAGAGTGCGGTGCTGATAACACCAAGGCCCCGGGTTCAGATCCCACATAGGGATGGCCGGTTCGCTCACTGGATGAGCGTGGTGCTGACAACACCAAGTCAAGGGTTAAGATCCCCTTACCGGTCATCTTTTAAAAAAAAAAAAATATATATATATATATATATTAACCTAACTATAATGTAAGGAATAAAAGAAAAGGAATATATAATGCGGTGATAGCTCTTTCCATATGCAAAGAAACAGGTGAAACTGCACTGCAAGACACAGTGGTGCATTACGTGCTGTGTCTGTGCACAGGTTGGCTGTGAGCATGACAGTTTAGGATTTGGTCTTATGTCAGTGTGCTTGATACCAGGTGTAGATTCTCCATCAGGGATGTCATATTCTCATGGTGAACAACTTTGGTAAAGTTCTGACCAAATCATAGTATGACCATCTCTAGGTTTACATGGCAGTTACATTCTTGGAAAATTTAGTGTCTGTGAAAACTGTGCCAGTGATATGCTACCTGGGGTTTTCATCCCCATGAGTGTCAGGATGTGTGGGGTGCAGGACACTGACTCACGTGGGGCTGCCAGCCCTGCCCATATAGTGCTTGTGGGGCTCCCCACCATCGTAGTGATCCCAGATACCCCCCACATTTCAGAATGGCCTCTGGAAGGTGGGATTGTCTTCCCTGAGAACCTGTTAGGAAGGCTTAATTATTAAAATGGAATGGAGTAAATCCTGTAGTCAAAGAACACTCATTCACAGTTTGCCTTAAAGATAAAATAGCTTGAACACTCAATCATTTATATAGTGACTTTCCACCTGTTTCTTTCCTTCTAGCTTAGTGATCCTCAGATTTAATGTGCATGAGAGGTATTGTAGATGGTTGTGTAAACAAACCCACGCATGTACTGTAACCAAGTATGTGTTGCTTTACCTGCTGACTTGAGAATCTCCTTCCACATTCTAGGTAACTTCTCCATATTGACGTCTTCATATGTGTTGTCCCCTCCAGATACATTCCTTCTAAAAAGTAGAGACCACTGTAGAATTTTTTGTTTCCTGGCAATTTTCATTAACCTTGAGAATATATCAAAAGCTTTACAGCAATCAAGGGCAGAGTTAATTACTATGTGAAGTTTTTCTAAAGCCTCAGTGATTCCTTATAATTTATCAGTAATACAAGGAGCTGTTGGCTTGAGAGTAGAGTAGCTACCTCCAAACAAAGAAAAGCAGAATTCAGAGAAAAGAGATCCAGAGGAAAAGTAAGAGGCCCCATCATCATTTGACTTTTTTGTTTAGACTTTAGTTATTAAGAATGAAAAGTATATCTGGAAACAGGAAGAGCCTAGAACTGCAGAAGTACTGTTGCTGAAAAACAGGATAGGAGGTATTCTTGATATAAAATTTTATCTTTATGAGGGAAAGAGAAAATTTGAATTTTCTAGAAAGGATAAGCTTGATAATGGGTTTATGCCAGATATATTTAAAGGCATAAAATATTTAGTCAGTGATTGTTTTGAAGTATTTGTCCCTGACAGTGACAAAACCTGTAAAGCAACCAAGCTAACTATTGATTTGTTGATTTGTTTTGGTGGGGGCTGCAGTCCAACTGGAACAGAGAAGAATCCTCCAGAGGATCATGATGCAGAACTCGAGGCTAGCAGCGCCCCTGCCGACTCCCACGAGAAACCGGAGACAGTCACAAGTCTTGGCAGCAAATTAAAGAAGAGTTTGCTGCCCTTGGACCCCAGCATCAAATCTACCAAAGAAGAAGTCTCTGAAAACATTTTAGCAAACCCTGATGACTCTTTGCCCAGTATCAACAATCTTTGTAACACCAACAAGAATTCCATAGAGAATGATCAGCTTTCTAAACTATATGATCCTGGGAATCTAATAAACGATCTGAGCAAACCATCCCAAGATGGAAAAGGGGCATTAAATGAGAGTCCACAGGCCTCTGCATTAGCAGAAACAGTGGAGAAGTTGAGCCCAACTCCCTCAGTACATTCAGAAGATGGATGTGAACATAAACTTTTAGTTTACCTCAGTAGAGACTGCTGCAAGGACACGGAGGAACTTTCCAAAAGTACCAGCATGTCTGCAAATGAGCTGCCCTGTCCTCAACTAGACAGGACCACAGTAAATCATACAGAAGCGGTCACTGAGCAAAGTCATGGGGAGAGGTATGATAGTAAGGTGGGACAAAAAGTTCAGGATCATTCTCCAGTTAAGGAAAAAATCAGTAGCCTCAGAAAAGTTGATCGTGGACACTATCGTAATCGAAGAGATCGTTCCTCCAGTGGAGAGAATGCAAGGGACAGTAGGAGCAAAACTGAGGACCATTATCACAAGAAGCGGCGCCTCTGTGTCAGAGAGCGGTCCAAGCAGGACCGCCACATGGCAGAGCACTGCAGCGGGAACCAGCAGCACCCATGTCACAGTGAGGGAGTCGGCCCCAGTGAGCACCGCTCTCTGGGCAGGTACAGCCACCACCACTCTCGAAATAGAAGTGGGTTGGACCAGGACTGGAGCAGATACCACCATTCAGAAAGTGAACATGCCTGGGGTCGGGACAAATACTACCTGGACAAAATGAGATGGGACAAATGCAGGTATTACCATGACAGGTATGCTCCTTACGCAGCGAGGGAAGCCAGGGAGTGGAAGCCTTTCCACAGCGGCCGGGAGCACGACCGAGCAGGGCAGTACGGTAACCGGCCATACAAGGACTACTACAGAAGCAGGAAGGGCTATGAGTTGGTGGCTAAAGAGAAGGATCGGCACCATTTCAACAGTCCTCGAGCTGGCCCATCCCGTTCCTTTCCTCTGTACCCTGAGAAGTGCTCCCATGAGAAAATTGCACTTGCGGCTGAAGACAACAGTTGCAACCTCTCTGATCGGTTTCATGAACATGAAAATGTAAAGTCACGGAAATGGAAATATGATAGTATAGAAAATAATGACTGTCATGTAGAAAAGAAAGCCCAGAGAAGCTTACAAAAGGATCCTTTAGAAGAGCCTAAAGCGAAGAAGCACAAAAAATCAAAGAAGAAAAAGAAATCCAAAGACAAACACCGAGATCGAGATTCCAGGTGAGGATCAAGATTCCAGGTGAAGACTATGGGCAGGAGCTTGCGCTGGCCTTACAAACATGTACCGGTCACCTGGTGATCTGTCTTTTCTAACCCAGCTTAGTAACAAGTGAAGGGCTATGTCATAGTCATATCAATTTGACTCGTGTTTCTCATCTCTGTGGGTTTTGAGATTTCATTGTTTTTACACATTTCTAAAACTTAGCTCTGCTTTTAAGCTGTATCATACTTCATGGTATTGTAAAATGCCTAACAACCTCATTTTTCAAAATGATATTGCCATTTTTGGTTAATGCTTTATAACTCTTCTAGGAGTAAGTGTGCAATGTTTTGTAAATGAAACCTTGAGTCTTTGATGTCAAAATTGGTGTTAATATTTTTTTTTGTCAGATGTAATTATATTTTTGTATCTTATATTTTCTTCAAATTCAGTGACTGTGAGGTAAGCAGAAAACGGGAGGCCACAGTTCTTCTGATGTTTGCCTACCCACCCAAAGCAGCGATCTGAGACGCATCATTTGTTTCCTTAGCTTTTGTCTTTCTGTCTCCATTTCTCAATTTGAAACCTAATTGGGAATTTTTTTTTGTATTTTTAAAAAGCTAAATGTGTTTGTGACTGTCTTGTGAATGGCTTATCCATGAGGAAATGGATGATCATGAACAGAACTGTATATTTTAGTTGATATCTCTTAACATTCATAAATAGGCAGTGCTCACTTGAAGGAAAAGGAAATCATAAGCCCCCTTTCCGCCTATGTGCCTAAGACACCTGGAAAAAACATTATTTTTTCTCTCAGCTACTAGTTTCAGGAAAAGTTAGCAAAATCCTCCCTGCAGTGTTTTGGCCAACAGCCCTAGCTCCTGAGCAAAGCTAAAGGCAGCGTGTGCAATGTGGTGGTGGGGTTGAAGCTGGCGAAGTTATGACCCTGGACTTAAAATTACTATAAGGAAAGCAAACGACACATTTTTAATTAGATACAATTTTACCTGTGTTTGCACAATCAGTGTCCTCAGTAAGTGGGTATAAAACCAAATACCAAGTTCTGTTTTAGGTGGTTTTGGGTTTTTGGTTGTTTGAATTCTGGTTTTTTCTTCTGCAGGCATCAGCAGGATTCAGATCTTTCAGTAGTGTATTCTGATGCTGACCTCCACAGACACAAAAAGAAGAAGAAGAAAAAGAAGAGACATTCGAGGAAGTCAGAGGACTTTGTTAAATATTCAGAACTACACTTACCTAAGGCCGCTGGCTATGAGACTGCTGACCATTTCCGGAGAACTGAGGGCAGTTTTCTTCTCACTGATGGCCTGCCTCTGGAAGGTGTTGGACCTTTCCGTGAGAAAACAAAACATTTAAGGATGGAAAGCAGGGATGACAGGTGTCATCTGTCTGAGTATGGCCAGGGTAAGAGGAGATACTTGGAATTAAGAAGATAGAAACTATTTTCTAATAAATTTTTTTTTGAAAAGGTGATTAACACATGGAAAGAAAACCTCAAATGGCATAAAAGTGTATACAATTAAACAAGAGTCCCCCTCCTGCCCTGTGACATCCAGCCTCGACTCTCAGACAGAATGTGATTCAGTTACATGGTTTGGATATTTAGCACTGATCCCTAAGCCTTTATTAAAGGCATAAGTTACATTGGACTGGGCCCAGCAGAACCTGTGTAATCAAACAGGAAGCCCTGGAAGTTATGGCTCTGGGTATCTGAGTATTTGCCTCGGGAAGGACCAGAACTTTGGTTTTTAAAGCATTTTTTATAGAAATATTTTTGCAGTATATGCTTTACTCTCCTGAATCCTTAAGCCCGTAGCGTCCTGAGCATAACCTAACTCATAATTTAATGACATCGGTTATTAGAAACATTTGCTGTTGGCCTCCACCAGAGCGATGCCTTGGCGACATCTATATTGTGGGTCTTTGGCTCCTGCGGGAGCTAAATTACTCCAGGCTGCTGGATGTCTCGGATTCTGGTGTCTGCTTTGCACGACTGTGTCTTCCCTTGTAATGTGGTAGTCCTTTGTGCACTCTGATTGCAACTAAGGCGGCCCCCTCCTCCTCTCTAGTTTTGTTTCCAATGACCTGTGGCTCTAAAAAAGAACATTGAGTTTGTTAAAAATGGATGTAATGTAAATCAGTGGACCTAGAGCAGAGGTTGGCAAATTGCAGCCCTAGGGCCAGAGCTGGCCTGTTGCCTATCTGTGTGACTTATGAGAATGGCTTTAACATTTTTAAGTGGTTGGAAAAAAATTCCAAATAATATTATTTTGTTACATATGAAAATTATATTCAAATTCCATATCGATTGACTTTTATTGGAGCACAGCCAGGCTTGTTTACATATTGCCCAACTGCTTTGGTGCTACTCAGCAGAGGTGAGAGTTGCAGCAGAGACCGTAGGGCCCGCAAAGCTAAAGATGTTTATTTGGCCCTTTACAGATAAAGTTTGCAAACCTCTGCTCTAGACACCGAGGTTCACCTTCATGAATAAAGCATGTCATTGCAGGGACTTTGACATGTCATCTTGGTTCTCAACTGTGTGTTCTAGGGGCAGAACAAGGAAGGGTGCAGGCCTGTCCCACCCAGTGGCCCACAGTCAGTGTGAGATTGTTGGTTGAGGGACACATGGCCCCAGAGTGTTGGGTAAAAGAGAACCAGGTAACTTGAGGGTTGAGTATTCCATTGGGAGGATGGTGTTGGGGGGAAATCTGTGGCTACAGGTAGCAGGTGAGAAGAATTGCCATTGCCAGGAAGAAAGGGAAACTCAAGTGGCGTTTGTTCTGTGTGTTTTCTAAGAAGTTAATTATATACATTTTTTAATTGGTTTCACAAGAACATTTCAGTGATTTGGGGAGGGGAATTGGTGATGATCAGTTCTCTTCTGCCTGATGAAGCAGCGAGATGGGCTTGTTTTGCATCTTGGGCAGCATCCTGCACCTCCCGTTGCAGCAGCAGGTGTCTGTCGCGAGGATCACAGCCAGGGGCTGCTGGTAGACAGCGGATGGCAGCTCAGGCCCCAGGGAGGGGAAGGAGGTCGAATGTGAACCTCAGTATTTCTCACATTTGGCAAATGGGGTGTCTTGAGGGTGCTGCCATCAGGCTGTGTTCAAGTGGTGGCCCTGCATATCTGTCCTAATCCAGTCTCACTGATGACCAGTCTGCAGCCAGCGCTTCTGCCTTGAGCAAGACTGAGGAGCCCAGGTGCTTGTCCTGTCATCCCAGGAAGGGCTGTTTGCTTGGCCTTGCCACGTCAGGCATCCCCCTCATCTGGCTGAGGACAGACACCCTGTCTGCTGCTTTCCTCTGTCCTGGCACTTTGACCACTTACCTTTCTCTTCCAACTCCTGCTCTCTGGTTCCACTCAACTCTGACTTAATTTCTTTGGCCTAAGTTCTGTTCTGTCCTAATATTAAAATGCTCATTAGTTTGATGGGGCTGAGGATGGACTGCTGGAGATGCCAGGGGGCTTGGCTTTCGGTGCAGCCTTCCACTGGGACCAGTGACCGTCGGTCATCACAAAAACTCTTGTTTTCAGTGAAACTCTTGGAGGACTAGCTACATGCAGTATATACCTGCTCATCCTCACATAGGATTGATTTCAGGTGACTAACGTTAAACTACAGAGAACTGATCCTAATTGTAATCACTTCAGGCACGGAACAGGCACTAAAAATTTTGCAAAACCATCATTAAAATCTGTTTCCTAACCTTTGCTTTCTAGGTGATTGAAAACTCGGCCTCAAAACAAAAATTCACTAGTTATGGTAAGCTGTTTTCATATCTGTACGTTTAGTAATTGTGGAGGCACTGAGGGCACACAAATGTTTTAATTCTGAAGAAAACATTAGGACCTGGGGCACTGCCGCAGCTGTGCAGCTGTCAGCCTCAGCGGGTGCTCAGCCAGCCCAGCAGGGGCAGCAGGTGCTCCCTAGATCCAGGCCCAGCACCTGGAGATGGACTTAGACCCTTTTCCTCATCAGCATTTCCAGTACTGACTAGGGAAGATGCGTGTTCAACTCAGGCAGTCACGCTATCATGCACTCCCTCATCCCTCATTGTAAGAAAAGCCAACAAAGTTCAAAACGCCAGGACAGACAGTCATTTGATAAATATTTCCATTTTCCAGCCCAGACCTACCTAATGGGCCTGTCCTAGAAAGGAGCCCCAGGAGTCTCCATTCCTTTTCCCACCCCTTCCCTGTGCTTCTACACCTGTTGGTCAGGGCTTAGCACATCTCACACTGCACACACCCAGCTGCTGGCCCAGTGCCCAGGCCAGGAGCCCCGGGTTCCACGTGCAGACTTGAAGTCATATTGAGGCATGGGACCAGGCACCCACTTCACATGAAGATGACTGCTTTATTTGGATGATGTTTGGGTGCTTTATAGCAGATCAAAACCTTTGAGTGTCAAGGCTGTATTCAAGTCATGTATTCAAGTCATGTGTTCAAGTCATGGGAAATAGTAGTTCATGTTTTCTACCCTGCACTTGCTGAGGTAAAAGAGATAGACAATGAGCCATTTTGCCCTTGAAAAGAAATTTTGTCCAAATGTGTCTGTCACATCTAATCAGCAAGGGGGATTTTAAATGAATTTCAAAGTTAATTGTCTGCAGATGATTAATTTGCAATTAACATGCTTTATCAATGTGTCCTCAAGGGAAAGACCTAATCCTAATTAAGGAACTTTTAACTCTTCTGAGTGAAAGAAAATCTCAGGATGAGATGGATTAGCAGCAGTTTTGGTCAGGGCAGGCACAGCCTGAGCCCAGCAGAGGGCGTCTCCCTGGCTGAGCCGCTGGCCTGCACCCACTGCACATCTGCCTGGCATCGCCAGGTTCCCTCATTGCGATTCAGGAAGGCAAAGTGACCGTTTACAGGAAGAAGAGCTTCCCCCAAAGACCTCGGGACCAGCTGACAGGGAATCCAAGAATAAGTTGCTCGTGTCATGAAAAGGAGAGGCCCCTCCTGGGACTCAGTGAGCTTTTGTGCCAGACTTCCTGCCCCTGGATTTACTAACCCCTGCCACCTCTTGTCTTTCAGATTCAACGCGTTCAACAGAAGCCATCCCCAACCCAGCTTAAATTATAAATATAGAAAATAACTTTGTTCCAATCTGCGTGGTGCTTCTTTAGTAAATACTGTACAGATTTTACCATGGAGAACTTTTTTTTTTTAGTTTTTACCTTTTCTTAATTACCCTTATTCCAAATGGATGAACACTTTCTACAACTGCTGACCATTGTAAAATACCATGTATATAAATCACATTGAAAATAATGCCCTGGAATAGAACATCTCAAATGCTGCTTAATTACAGACTCAGGTTGATTACTTGTATTTCATGTAATGTTCCTCCAAGTTAGACATCTGGTGCAAGACCAACCGGGAAACCATGGAATTATTAAAAGTACAAACTGACAGTGTGTATATTTAATTTAAAGACTTATTTAAAGATTCCCAAGCTCTCAACTAGACTTCCGAGAGCAGTCTGTTTTCTGTAACGTCTGATACTAGAAACTAATTTGCTTCATATTTAGTTGTATTCAAGATTTGAAGATGTATTTTATAGACAAGTTCTGTTTTTGAACTTTGTGGAGCTATTCCAATCAAGTTACCAGTTATGATGAGTATTTACATTATGAATGTATAATCCAAACATTATTTGTAAAGCCTCCAGTATGTTTTTATTATATAACACTTTTTTATACAGTGTCTTGTCTTGACTATATGATATTGGAGTCTGAGTTGTCAGCTTGGTCCCTTAAAGTTTCTAGTTACAGACAAAATCATACTGTGATTTTATTTTTAATATGGATATGCTATCAAACTGTGATACACTTATAATTCACTGGTCCTGCATCAGGAGATGGAGTGGGGAAAACTGTATTTAATACAGTTTGTATCTGAATAATCTGTATGGTTTATACAGTTTGTGTTGTTCAGAGATGTCTAAAGTTTGATCTTTGTTTTTTTAAAGATTAAAAAAGCACTTGCCCCACTGTAAATATACAGCATGTAAAATTTATATAGTATATAAATGGCAGCAAATTAAACATTTTGCGTCTTATTTTTTACTGTTGTTTTCCCAATTTGCTTACAGACACTTATCACTGACTCCTTCCTGTTGTCTGCGTTCACTTTCTCAAAACCTGTGAAGCCCCCCGTGCAGCCTGTCAGGGCTGGAGCTGCAGACCCCAAGGATGAGCAAGGCAAAGTCAGAAAGTGGTTTGCTGGGTCTGACAGTGTCACTATTTTAAAGAACCAAGTCTTAGACAAGCTTGTCTACAACAACACTAAACAGATAAAAACATCTAGAGTTAACTTAATAGGAAACATGCAAGACCTAAGAAAACTATAAAACACTCTTATAAGACACAAAAGAAGACCTGAGTACATGGAAATGCATGCTATATATATATATTTTTTTTTTATTGACAATACATTTGGAGTTTTATTTGGTGAACACAGCATTTGCAAGAGTTTGACAGCCACACACCCTCCAATTTTACTTACTGTTCACTTTGCAACAAAATATCAATACAGAATATTTCTTCATGCAAGTTGTAGGAGTATATACATTGAATAACAAACACTCCAGAAATCAATATATGTACATTATTTACATATTAACTATATTTACTGTAAATAGAAATGTTTTCTAAGAAAAAATAAGAAAATGAGAAATCACAACTTGTGGTTTCTGGTCTACAACAGACCTAACTTCTTGGCAAAGCACATCTATGTAGATATATGCATGTGTAACCTTAGAAATATGCATTGCTTTATATGAAGCATTAAATGCTTCATCTGTAAATAGCTCCTATTTTGACTCAGTTTGGTACCACATTAAATTGCTCAAAAATGTTCTGTAACCCTGAAGACACTGTTGCTTGTCTGGGTCCAGGGTCAGTCCAATTAAACCTCAAATGTTAACCAGGGCCCAGCAAGGCAGAGACAGGATGGGCCGCGGAAGCCACCATCTCCCACCCAGGTTTCCTCTTCACTGCTACTGCCCTTTGTCTCTGGAAGAAAGTGTGTCTTTGGCTGGAGTTGACACTGCACTGAACGTAGACACTGGGGGTGGGGAGGAGGATGAACACGATTGCTCACGCTGAGGCTCAGGCAACAGAACCACACCTGCCCCCAAGAGGGGATGAACCAGCTGTCCCACTTCAAGAGGGGATGCCCTGGTGGAAACTAGCCCCGCACCGTCCCTGACCTGGCAGGTTTTCTGGACCAGGCCTGCCTGAGGGCTCCGTGGGCATGATGGCTGTTTGCCCTTCATGTTAATACTGTCACAAAAAAACCCTGGAATTAGATGATTTCACGTAACACTCTGATGGCAAGTTGGCTCGATTCTAGGCACCACAGCCTTCTGTATCATTCCTGGGTGAACAGCCATCAGTTGAAGCTTGTTCACAGATGACCGTAGTAGAGAGACAGATTTCTCATCAGGCGACACCGTCATGCTCACTTCCCAACACCCAAAAGACAAAGTTCCAAATCCCCAGGGCCATACCTGGGTTAGACAGGAGAGGCGGCGGCGGCTTGTCCACATGTGAAATGCTGATGGAGCTGGCACTGCAACCAGTTCTGGGGAAGAGGCCAGCCCAAGAATGGGCACCGTGGAGGCCGCCGTCAGCAGTATTTGGTCTGGGGGTGCAGGCAGCATTTCTGTTTCCAGGGAAGACTGGAGGCCAGAGTTGCATATATACTAGTCAGGCATTTCAAGAACGCTGACTTGCCTTTCTCAAAAACTAAATTTCGAAAGAGGGTCCTATGTATTATACTTGGTCATTCTGGAGGTGGAAATAAAGCTCCCAATAGAGACAGACATCTGTCTTCCAGTCCCGTCTTGTTCCAAGCACACATCTTCGTCCAGTTTCGTGATGGTCTCAATGTGCGGGGCACAGATTCATCCATCCTTGTGCAAGTGTACTGAGCCCTTTCTATTGTACGTCTGTGGCAACCTGACAGCCTCCTGGTCATGGGGTTTCCCCGCTTCCACCACCAGTGTCTATTTGGGGTTCTCAACTGCCTACAGAGAACCTAACTGCCACACACCTTCAACCTGTAGCTTGCTCTATCCTTCCTCACAAGGGGAGATCAAATCTCTGGAAACATAGTGTACTACAAGAGGAATAAGACTGATTATTTCTAGTTACTTATACGTCTATTCATTAAGAAATCTGGTCAAATAATTGTAAGGTCTGTAAGATAAGCATTCATTTTGTCGAAGGCTTTAAATAGCAATGAATGTGATCAAAAGCCGGTGTGACCCAAGTATTCAATTGAACCATATGAAACTGCTGTTTGTGTGGGTCAAAAGCAGATAGCAGCAGATTCATGTGTTCAACAAACGGATGATGTGTGTCCAGGGGAAAAGCTCCATTTCCTAGGATTTAGCAGTTACAGGATAAACACCCTCAAACCGTAATCATTATACTTTAGTGATTTGCTTTTTTAGAAACTATTTGTGGGGCCAAAAAATTTAAGCTGAAGGGAGGCTACACAGCTAATCATACCTGGAGCCCTCTCCCCAAGTGCTCGTGGTCCTGAAGGACACCGGACACCTGACTCCCAGAGCAGCCCGGCCCCGCCCCCGCCTGCCCCGCAGCAAGGCCCCGCACCAGCCCCCGCCCAAGTGCGAGTGACCTCTCACAGCCCTCCTTCGGGGTGCTGCATATACATATATATTTTTTTTCTTTTTTTTTCTTTTTTTCAGTGCACTGTATATACTTGTGTCCAGGAGTTAAATTTATAGCTGCCATTCTAAAAATACTACTGTTAGAAAGTATCTTTTGTTATAATTTCAGAATATAAAAAGGCATATAAAAGCTATAATCCTATATATCTGAGAAAAAAAATCTGAATAAAAAACTGGTAGCTTTTCCTTTCGTGTTGTGATACGACACAGTGGCTTCTAGAATGGATAACCCCACCACGAGTGGGCGCATGGCTGGGACCGGTAGGAACGAGGCTCTGTCTGCGGAAAGTGAGTCCCGCATCTGTGGCACAGGTTTTCCGGGCTGAGCCACCAGGCGCTGCCACTGATGAAACCGGGCGCGCGCAGGTTTTGACTTCTCCCACCGTGAGCTCCGGGACAGTCGCAGACCCCAGCCCAAGGCTGCAAGGTAAACAGCAGTTCAGGCCACGGATGGCCGCTCTGGAGAAGCTGTGAGCACCACCAGGCAGGACCCACCTCCTAGCTGCGGCCTCCAGTCACTTTCTGCTGTGGGGTTTGGGTCTTGTCCTTTACCTGTTCAAGCAGGAAAGCTCTATTTCTTATTGGCAATCCTTCTTTTCCTCGTTGCCAACATGTCATAGAAAGGATCCCTACTGATACTTGCTCTGGTAAAAAAAAAAAAAAAAAAAGGAAGACAAGCAGGTTAGGTCTGAGGACAGCGCTGACCACAGGCCAAACATGGACCTCCGCTTTCCCACCATCCCCACAGGCTCCTCGAACAAGACAAAGGGGTCAAGTCAGAGTCGGCTCCAGCGGCCAGCCCTAAGTGTCTGGGGATGACAGAGTCAGTTCCTGCACACCCAAGTGTGCGTGTCGGCAAGGCAGGCACCATCACACACTCTCACTCCCGACCTGTCGGCAGGGGACGGCCTGGCTGGAGACCACTCACTCACTTGATGGATTTCATCCACTCCTCCTTCTCCTCGGGGCTGGGGGCCGAGATCCGGTACACCACGTGGTTCCCCTCCACCACTCTGCCGTCGGCTTCTGTTTTACAGGCTTTGATGACCTGCCCTTTGTGGCTTGGGTTATAGAGCTCAAAACAGTTCTGGTGGAGAAAGAAAGAGGGGGGCCGTCAAGGGGTGTCTGGGAAGGTTCCCATGCAGTGGTCAGGCCCTCGCCTAGGGCTACCAGCGAGGACAGGACAAGCTGGTTGAAAGGAGAGGAGTTTGTACAAGGCGGTGGCTCACAGGTTTCCGCGGGTCTTCCACCTCCCGTATGCTGAGGTTTTCCAGCGGGATGATCCCTCTGGGCTCTTTATCCTACAAGAGAAAAGTGTACAGCCAGACTCATTGCGGTGACTGGGTGGAGGGTCCCTCAGCACAGGGGGTGGCTGCAGTTACTGCTAGGAGGAGGGGGGCAGGCCCCACCCTTACTTACTGTCGTGTATTCAAAGTAGTAGAGGCAGTTGTCTGTCAGGATGAACCACCGCCGCTTCCAGGTCTTCACACGCCCTCCTGGAAGCAGAAGGGCCTCATGAGTCAGGGGCCTGTGCAGCAGGGAGCCCGCGGGCCGGAAGCGGGGCCCAGGACCCACACAGATGACTGTGTTGTCAGAAAGGCCACCAGGAGCCAGGCTTCCTTTCTTGTGAAAACGGTCACCATTCTGACCACAGCCAGTAAGGTCCTGGACAAGGTGTGTGGCCGGGCCGTCTGAGTGGGCCCCACATGCACCCCCACCCGGGCCTACATAGGAGCCCTCTCCAAGGCCACCAGGGTCACCCCAGATAACACAAGCGCTTTTCAAATCTGCTTCCTGGAAAAGTTAGTCGTGATGGATGGGCATAATTTCCCCACATGAAATGACAACATGCTCAAGTCAGTGCAGCTCACCCGGGTCTGTCCAGGTCTTAATCCTGTTACGTCAGGGTGGTTATCGCATTACTGAGCACTTTGGGCAGCCCTGGGATCCATCACAATCAATTACCCCTTGGCCCAGGGAATGATTAGATTGAATTAATCTTTTAACAAGATCTGGAGCACAGGTGCAGGCACGCACGCGCACACACACACGCAGCTCATCTAGACCTGCTCTCCTTTTAGTACGGGCAAGGAGATCTCTTTTACCCTTAAACATTCAGCAGAGACAAAATGACTTCAACTGCTAGCCCTTGCTTCAGATGTGAACAAGCTCATGGTAATGAGTCCACCCCACAGTGCCCCCTGCCCCCTCGTTCCCCAGAGCTGATGGCGACGGCGCTCAGGGCCCACCTCTTCTCCAATTTTTTCAACCCACAAGTAGGTGAGGAGCTGTTGCGGGGGCTGTGGTCCCAGACCCTCCCTGCACAGAGTGGCAAGGTGAGCCTGGGAGGCCCCATGGGGGGCTGAAGTCTGAGGACAAGGGGAGGAAAGGCTGTGGGGTCACAGGAGACAGGAAGGGCCACGGGGCGCGAGCCTGGGGCTGAGGCAGTAGGACACTGCCAGGGCGAGGAAGGAGGAGGAGAAACCATCCGCAGGCAGGGAGGGAGCCCTGAGTCTGCTGGAGGGCAGACGGTGTCTCGGCAGCCCCCCTCATCAGCCCCCTTCTCTCCCGCTTTGATGGCCCAGGACAGCCTGAGGAAGTTACCACCTGCGGAGCAGCCTTGAGGGAGGCAGACAGCTGTCCCTCCCTCTCCCCAGGCTGACCTGTCACACGACTCCTTCCTCACCAGCATCCCACCACCTCACCCGTCACAAGGGTCTGCCTAAACACCGTGGGACCATGTCCCTCCCCAAGGTTCCTGCTGCATCTCCACAGCTCTCAGACCTCCCTGGAGCCCCGCCAACCGCCCCAGCATACACCTTCCTGCCACAGGACCTTTGCTCAGGGAGTGATATCCCTTCCTGCCAACCTCTCTCCTGACCTGTGGCCTGAGCTCCTGTTCCGCAACCCCCTGCACACAGCTCCATCATTGAGTCTTCTGTCATATTCATCCCCTGAAGACTCAGCACAGGCTGGGCACACAGCAAGGCCTGTGGCCCTTGGGGCACCAGCTTCCCAGGTCCCGCCGTGGGCTTCACTCCCCCAAGTCCACTGGAGTATAGGAGGGAAGCCCAAGTCCATGCAGGGGTCCAGGAGACCCTCAGGTCAGCTCTGCCTTGGCCTAAAGTCCTCCAGTGACAAGGGGACAGAGAGGCATTCTACACCCCTAAGACCAAAGAAGAGGAGGCCAACACCAGTTCTCTCCAGGCACTTCCCCCATCCCTGCCAGGCTGTGATAGAATCAGCTGACAGCAGTCTCCACCATCCTGATGTCATGTCACCATCGCTTCCCCATCCCCCCTGCCAAGACTTCAGAGCAGGCCCAGCTCCAGCTGCTCTGGTACTCAGGCTGCCCATCTTCCCAACAGCAGCCAGAGGCATCTCTTGAAAATAATACATTGATCAAATCCTTTCCTGCTTGAAGCCCCCAAAGGCTCTGATCGCACTCAGTGGAAGATGTGAGCTCCCTCAGCAGCTGAGCAGGCCTGAGCTGGTCGCTAAACCACGGAGTGAGCCTCAGAGAGGCACCAGAGCCCATCGCTGCTGTCACTGCACAGCCCCTGCTCTTTCCCTTTGAGTCCATTACAGCAGATGATCAAGGTGTGTTCTGTCATTTCTCAGTCACAGTCACCTGGCCCCATGCCTGTCACCAATCTGGTCCCCCCAGCTGCCATGGAAAGTGGGTTTGCTGGGGGGTCCCTGACTCTTCACCCTGCGCTCCACCCACTTTTCCCAGTCAGAGGAGTGTCTGGAGAGTCCTCGGGGTCAGGGGAGCCAACAGGCTGGGGCCACAGGTCCCAGACTGAGACATGTCATCTGGACTGGCCCCCAAGCCTGGCCCAGTCCAGACCCCCCTCAGAGAGGCAGGCCCAGCAGGGGCCAGTGATTTCCTTGGTCTCAGAGCCACAGCAGGCTCTGCTGCAAGGACACTGGGAGGCTCTGCTTCCACGTGTGCTTCTGGACACACCACACAACACTCACACCTGCAGACAGGAGCCTAGCTTCTCCTAAGCAGTGTAAGCACCCACTTTCTCTTTGCGAATCTCCCTCTATTTTCATTGCTGTTACCAGGCAAGGGCGTGCATGTGTGCACACACACGTGCAAACACACAGCACATGCGTGCGCACACATGCTTTCTTCTCCACGATAGCTCAACTCCAACTACATCTTACGTTTTTAACGCAACTGTTCTCAAAACTCAATGTCTTAAGTTGTTTACTGAACAGTCATAAGCCAGGCCTGTGCACACTACAATGCTTCTATGCTCTGGCAAAGCATTCAGGCCTTTAAAAAGAGCCACCTGCTCTAAAATTAAATTTATGATGAGTCTGCAACGGAGCAAGGTTACACTTCTATCTGAGTACACCCTGGAAACACACTCTAGATTCTACACCCATCCTGTCCACCTCTAGCCAGAGTCCCTGTGTCCAGGCCATGCTTGCCCTGTGCTGGGAGGACTCTGTGTCCTTAGTGCCAGGCCACACGTGGGGTTGACCTCTGAGTCTTAAGAATCGGCTTCCAGCACATCTGCCAGCCCCTCTGATGCCACTTGGCTGTCTCTAGTAGCCAGGCTTTGCTCTCAACAACTTGGCTCTCCAAACAGTTGAGAGGAGGCCTGTGGACAGAAGCATCTCTGGGCACCCAGGGGCTCTGGATGGAAGACCCACCACTGGTTAACCCAGCTACCAGCTCTCTGGGCAACCTGCTCTGTGGACGGTGATGCTTGCCAGCCTCTGTCTCAGATGTTACTCCTGAGAACAGAGCAAATGTGGAGGTTGCCTGGGCTGGCTGCTGTGCCCTCCGGCCACCTGCCCATGCTGAGGTCGCATCTAGTTGCCTCAGGCTCCCCTCAGGCACTGTGCAGTGCCCGGCCAGCTCTGCTGCTCCTGCAAGTGCTCCATGCAGTTATCGCATGGCCTGCGTGTCTGCCCAGCCAGGAAGCAGGTGAGAAAACACAGGTCTGCTTTGCCTTTATTTCAGTCACTTATACAGCCAGCCTCCTCCTGGTAGCACGAAGGCTACACTGGCTGCTAGGCAGGCTCACGCTGTCACCATCCCTGAAGGGGGGCATTCTTGGGTGACACAGGAACCAGAAGGGAGGCATCTAGTCCAATGAACACCCACTAGTTCTGGTCCAAGTGCCACCACTGGTGATTTTAGATGCATTCCTCCTGCCCTCACTCTTCTGGCCAGAAGTTTTACACACTGTGAAAAGTCTGGTGTATTATCTACAGTCACTCAGGCACCCAGGTTCAGAGCTATGGTGCTAGGTTTTTAGGCAAACACCCAGAACGCTCCTAAGCCTTGGCATAGAGAAGGATCAAAGAGCAATGGCCAAAGCTGAAGACCCCAGTGGGAAGAGCAGAGCTGTGGGGCACACTCCACCCCATTAGCCAAGGGAGGCCCGTGCCTGTCAGACTGTTATGCCATGCCTTATCCTGACCTGATTAAAAAAAAAAGTCAGCAGGATTCTGTAGCACTAGCACCTTACATGCTGTCTCGCAACGATCTGTTCTCACAAGTGCCCAGCAAATGCAGCTGTCACATTTTTCTTGCTGTCAGTGTAAGGCAAAATCCCAACCCACCCAAAGTCAAGACAATCCCTGAAAATTTATAAATTGCCTATAAAGTATAAAAGCCATTTGACTTTTCTGTCAATGGTGAGGAATCCTTTAGGACATTCCCAGACTCTTTCCACAGGGTGCAAACGTGCACTGCTTGGTTAGTGTGAGAGGCGGCTGGTGATGCTGCGAGGACAGGGATGGTTATCAGCTTCCTTGCTGCTGCAGAGACCCTGAAAACACGAGTGGGGGCAAGCCTGTTCCCACACAGTGTCCCCATGCGCTCTAGTCCCGGCCACTCTTGGCCTGGCCCGTGGGGCAGGTGTTGCATTCACCACACCGTGCTCTGACCCCAGCAAGTCCAAAGCCAAATGGATCAGATGAATGGCAGCCACAAATCGGAGCTTCACATAGACCAACGTGGGGGAGAGAAACCGAGAGGAATGAGCCGCTGAGGGAGGGACAGGAAGCCACTGGGTACGTACCTCCTAACGCAGGACAAGCAGGGACAGCCCGTCACAGAACAGAAAGGTGGGAGCCACAGGCAGAAGGAAAACAACAAGAAGGCACATTTAAACCACTCGTCAAAAATCACAGCCACACCAAACCAAGAGAAAGGCACACAGATTCTTTGGAGATAAATGCACTTGCTTCTCGTACAGAAAACTGCCCTCAATCTATCTGGACACTAACTTAGCAGTTTTCTGGGACAGGTCGTGCAGGCTGGGTGTTATTCTCCGCCATGAACACTGCAAAGGTGGCCTCACTCTGAGATGCCACAATTCAGAGAAGCCGCCATCAGTTCTGGGACGTGCAACTACTGAGAGTGGACACTGGCTTAACTGCATATTCTTTTTAATGTTTCTGCCTTGTGGTTAGGGGCTTTTGCTACCATGAGCTGGGGAGTACCCCCACAGGAGCTGCTGCCGTGGGCTGAGGGGCCACATCTGCGAGTCACGCACAGCCCGGCCGTGGCCAGAGCAGCTGCTCACCCAGCTTCAGGAGCCAGCCTTCCCGGTCAGGGTTGAAGAACGTGTGTGTCAGGTCATTCCCATCGTCCTCTGGGATTTTAAATGGTTCATTCTTAATACTTTCATATAAATTCTGTAAGGAGGGAAGAAATAGCAAATTCAAGGATTCAAACACTGGAGAATCAGCCTGTCCTTTACCCATCTCTCTCCAGGACAGAATAAACATAAAGCTCAGGAGGACCAGGGCAGCAAAGAGACCCTTGAAACATGCATCTAAGATAATGAAACAAGCACTGCCAATTTCCGCACGTCATGATGATCCTGAAAATTGAAGAACAAGTGAGGGACAGAGAAGGTGAGGAGACACACCCTCCCAAGATGTAGCTCAGAAGCAGGTCTCAGACGGACTCACCCTCAGCAGCTCCTCAGGGAGGTCCCCTCCCTCGTTGATGCCGCGGTTCATGCTTATGAACCGCTCTGCTGTGGGCTTGTCACGCACATTGTGGTTGTGTAGGCTGGTGTTGAGCATGATGATCGCAAATGACAGCACGTAGCATGTGTCTGCAACAGTCCGAGGATGGCAGGAGGGCTTAGAATTCTACATGTGGAATGTGGCTCCCACAGGAAACCCATGCATGTTGGGGGCACACCCCACTGAGGACACTGGGCAAGAGGCACCTGGGCCTGCAGGCCTGTCCTCTGAGCAGCAGCCCCCCATGCAGTATCAGGTCTGGCTAGTGGCCAAAGGTGGTGCTGTCGTGGCTCAGAGAAGGCAGGTAGGTCCCTAGGAACACATGCCTGTACTTTGCCTAGCCCTCCCACCCCCTGAGCCATTGGCTTTGACTGATGAGGGGCCAGGGCCACAAGCCCTGCCACTGACCTGTGGACTGGAAAACCCCAGGGTTGCACAGGCAGTAGCGTGAAGCAAAAGCCTCCATCATGCGATCAATTTTCTGAGCCTCCCCTGGAAGTCTGAAGCTCCACAAGAACTGCCTGCAGAGAAACAAAAGCTCATGGAATGACCTTGCATGAGAACAGACCCAGCCTCACAGCCCAAAGAACAGCTTCTGCCCAGCCCCAGGAAGCATGTTTTCTTCCTGGCCTGGGTGCAACTCTGGCAGGGACATGGAAGGGCACAGAGCCAGGAAGGAGAGACCCAAGACAGTTTCCTTCCATTTGATAATTCAAGACACGTTTACTGACTGCTTGCCTTTTCTGTGACACAACCTATCTGGCAGTGAGGCCTGTTGCCTCTGCCTTAAAAACATCCAGGACCCAGCACTTCTCCCACACCCACCAGGCGATCACCCCAGCCCTGCCATGGCCCCATGGCCCTGTAGATGGGACCACTCCTCCCAATACTCTCACACCCCTGGGCAAAGCCAGAATCAGCAGGACAGCTTCCAAGGCCCCCTCTCCACTGCCGGTGTCACAACCGAAATCTGCTGCTGCCATACTAGCAGACACACTCCTGCCTTGGGGACATGGCCCAACAAGCAACTGCCCCATCCTCAGATATCCCCCTCTCGCTGAGGTCTCCCCGGCCACCTTACCTAAAATCGCAAGCCCCCCTCTCCCAACACTACTGCTCCTCCTTTGCTTTCCTTGGTTGCACGGCACCCACCACCTGCTACCTGTCCGCCTTATTCATCCCCTGTCTGAAAGTGGCTGTGACCCCCACGGCCAGGGCTGCAGCCTATCTCACTCCTTGCCTGTGACCACAGCCTGCTGCTGCTGCTGCTGCAGCTTCAGAACAAGGAATGGGGCTGAGGTTAGAACTAAGGGCTCTGATTAAGTTCCTGGACTGTCCTCAGTTTCACCAGCAGTCAGATAGGGGCAGATGCGCTCTTGCCCCCAGCGAGGCCCCTCCTCTTCTGCACATCCCTTAAACGTGAGGGCTCCCTGAACCCTCTCTTTGTGTGGATTCCAGCCACATTCAAGCCCCTCATAGCCAGGACCAGCTTCAGACTCAACACGGCCACCCCGTCCTTGGCTCACAGGCCAGTCACCTAGAAGCACCCAACCGCCTGCTGCCCCACGGCGTGGCCCCCTGCCCCTCGCACAGCAGGCAGGTGGGCCTGAAGTCTGCCTGTGAGCCCCCTGTCCCTCACAGGCATCTCTGAGTGAAACCCTCAGAATAAAAGCCAAATCCTTAGGACAGTTCCTGAGACTGGAGGACCCATCGCGTCCCTGCCCACTCCTCTGTGCCGTTGCTCACTGCTGTCACTCGCTTGGCTCTTTTTCTTCCATCCTGTCTAAGTGCCCCTCATCAGCCCTGACCCAGCCCAAAGATCCCCTTACCCAGCCGAACTTTTTGATTCCATAGCAACCAGCTCCTTCTGACAACCTGCGTAACTTAGGTTTCAGACATACCTGTTACTTGTCCTCTCTGCACTACAGCGTGAGCTCTGTGTGGCCGAGATCAGCGCCAGGCCCACAGGTGGCCCTCCAGCGCCAGGTGATGAATAGGAAGCGAGGTTCTCTGGGGTGAACAGAGTCTCTAGGCTTTACCTGCCTGAGCCCCATCCTGCAGGAATTGCAGATGCCACCCCACACTCTCCCGAGCTATCACTGAGTCCCAGACTTCTCTTGAACCACACACCACCCCTGCTTACACTCTCCAGCGGCTCCCACTGTCCTCATGCTTCTGAGCATGTGCGAGCCCTTCCTGCCCACCCCACGGCCCAGCACCCCATCATGCCCCAGGGCCGTGGTCGGGGCTGCTCTCTTGGCCTGGCAGATGCCTGTGCTCCTTGCCAGCTTGGCTTCTCCAAAGGTGTGTGAAATGGAGCCCCCCAGGCTAACCCAGGCCCATCCCTCCTCCTGCCTCATTTTTCTCTATAGCCCCTGAGCCCAGCTCAGCTCCCAGCACGGAGCAGGTGTGCAGATGAGCAGGTGAAGGTGTGAAGCTGCTGTCACTCTGGGCCTTGGCATGCCAGAGAGAACCCCCAACACAGGCAGCATGTTCTGGGGTAATGAGACAGGCCAGGTGGCAGATGATGAAAAAGGAGCTGTGGAACAGGCAGGGCCCGAGGATCTAGCGGAGCAAAGCTGAGGCAGCCGGCTCTCTGCCCTCACCTGCTCTGCTGCGGGGGCCTGCTGGACTTGACACCTGTAGGATTTATTAGGAACCTCTCTGTCTCTGGGCTGGACTGACTAAAAGAAATGGAATCACAGCTGCAACAACTATGCCACACACACTCCTCCCAGACTCACCAGGCCTGAGCCTCTCTGTGGACATGCAGTTTTCAAAATCTGAGTCTGAAAAACTTGAATTACAGCTGCAGGGTTCATATCTGCTGCTGCCAGCACGTTGTTCAGCCCCAGGCTGAGAAGCTGAGCACAATGTCATGAGGGTCAGACAAAAACACTGCTGGCATTTCAGTCTGCAGCTGAAGCACGGCCACGAAAAAACAGCCCAAGTAAACAAGAACCAGACAAAACGTAGCTATGACCTTCTCAGCCTGAGGACAGGCTGGGGGGGCTCCCACCAGAAGCCCTGCCACCTCTCCCTGAGCTGGACCCCAGGTGCCGCTGGGTGATGGCTCAGGATCGACACCCAGACCAGATGAAGAGCCCACACGGCCCAGCGGGATCCCAAGGAAGGAGACGAGACCACCTCCTTTCAGCAGTGCAGGAAGAAGAGAAGGTACAGGAGGAACAGGCTGAGAGGGCATCCGGGGAGGACACCGTGGACACTGTAATAAGCCTGCACAAGGGTGGCTGAGGGCCTCTGTCCACCCCAGTGACACAGTGACACCTGGCTTTCCTCAGAAAAGTTGGGAGCAGGGGGCTTCCCATGGTGGAACAGCCATATCCTCCATAAACACCTGATGCCAAAGCTGGTGAGGAGTGGGCCTGTGCAGCGCTGAGGCCACGCCGTGCACAGCATGCGGCAGAAGTGGGAAAAAGCACACACGCGACTGCCAAACTTTGCTTAAAATGAGAGGAAGCAAACAACGAGCGGAATGCAGAACCCACATCACAACCAGGGAAGTGTGACTGTGCCCTGCGTGCGTGGCCTGATTTCTGCCTAGGGCTGCTGAATGTCACACAGCATCAGAGGATCATTGGGGACAAAGAGCCAGTGTCTGCAGAGACGCCTGTGGCTCTCAGCTCCCTGGAGTGAACCTGCACACCCTGCTGCTCAGCACCAGCCCTCTGGCCTTGCCCGGCGGCTCTGTGCCCAGGGCATGACCAAACGCTTACCGTAAGGCTTGCACAAGGTTGAGATCAGCAAACTCATGGAGTTCGACAAAAGCCTGAAGAACTTTAATATTAAATTCATCCCTAGGAAAGAAAGGAAAGAAGTTTTAAGCCTAATACACATTATCTTTATCAAAAAAAGACATTTCCTAAAGCAAGTTTTTAATTTTGTATGACTAAAAGTTAAGATTTTGTTCACCGCAAATTTGTTTTCAGACTTAAGGCAAAGGAGAGTCAGTAGGGTATTAAGAGCGTACTTTACAATAGGTAAGAGTCTAGGCAAGGGGACCATTGCGGAACCCCAGAGACAACCACCGCAACCGCCTGGTGCTCGCACTGTAGGCTGTAAGGGCGTCCAGAGCTTAGTGTGCTCCTCCCACAATCTTCAAAACGACCCGAGGGGGGTGTTACTATCATTCTCATTTCACAGATGGAGGTTTTGAAGCTCAGGGAAGTGAAGCAACTCACTCAAGGCCATAAACTGTAAGGTGTATGCTGGGCTCAGAAAGGAAACTTTGGAAACAAAGTAAAACCAACCACATTAGTTTTTAAAAATTAACTTGAGAATACAGTAAAAGGTGTAAAATTTATTCAAATGTAAAAGATGACATCAAAAAGTAAAATGATGAAACAGGGGCCGGCCCGGTGGCGCACTGCTACAGTGCGCCGCTTGGGAAGCACAGTGGCGCTCCCGCCGAGGGTTCGGATCCCACATACAGACCGGTT